GATTTCAATATAATATTCTCAATTATTTTCCCTCTAGTATCTGTGTTTGTGGATCCCCAGATTTCGTTGTGACAGTTGAAATCCCCTTCTAATAGAAAAGGTTTAGGGAGTGTTGTATAAGATTAATTAACTCCGTTTCTTGAAGTTGATGGTTATTGGGAATGTAAACATTGCAGATGCATATTTCTCGTTGGCCTAAGGTGGTTAATGCCGCAACTGCCTCGATATTGGTTTTAAGCGGTATTTTTGTATAGTTGGTGCTTTGTTTTAGATAGATTGCAACTCCGCCGCTCGCAATCAGAGCGTTCCTTCTATTTTCTTGAACTATGTTGAAACCTTTAATGTTAATAGTTTCGGTTTCTTTGAAATTGGTTTCCTGTAGACATAGAATGTTTGGTCGGTGATCTTGGAGGAGTTTTTGTAGAAATTCGAACCTTGTTTTAAGGCTATTTACGTTCCATTGTAGAATTTTTGTTTGCATCAAGGATTACTTAAAGTAGTATTTGCACTTAGTTAGTATATTCGTCTTCAGAGCACTGGGGTGTGTCAGAGTTTTCCAAAGGAGCGCGGGAGTATGTTTGGAAGTCGATCTTAGTAGGTTTGACTAGTTTTTTAATAACTCTTGTGAATCGAATCGATAATAGAACGATCTGTAAGGTGAGGGTAAAGTTCTTTCATGAGTTTTGTTAAGGACTCGGCGTCATATGTGTAATCTGCTGCAATCTCTTTAGTGTTGGAGGGTCCCATTGTTTTTTCAATAAAGCTTTTAAATTGGTGGAAATTTAACATTTTGCCAGGTGTTTCGAGTATGTGTTTAATTGGTTGTAGCATATCTTCTATGCTTTTTCCACTTGCTGTTGTGATATTTGCTTTTTTATTTGGTTGTTTATATTTTGGTTCGTTGTTTAAGATTTCCGGAAGACAGGCTGGTTGTTCTATGGTGTGAATTAGGTCGTTTGTTGTTTCTGTAGTGTGGCTTGAGTTGTCGGTTATTTCAGATCTGGTTCGTTCTTTTGGGTTGGTTGGAATGCCTATGTCCATGGTTTCTATTATTTTGCAACGGGTAGTATCTTCTAGGTTTTTTGCGGCGTTGATGTTGTTAGTGTTGGATGTGATTTGAGCTGTTTCAGCTTCTTGGGGGTTTGTATCGGCAACTGTTCGTGTGGTGTCAGTAATTCTGGATTGGTTCTCGTTGGTCTTACAGTTTTTCGCTAGGTGTCCTTCTTGTTTGCATATAAAGCATTTTAATGTCTCTGTTGAGGGATAGATCCAATATGTTGTTTGCTCGTGTTCAATTTTTATGATGGATGGAATTTTGTGTGTATCGTATGGGTTAGCGTATAATTGGCGGCGGAAGCTAAGTATATGTGTAAACCCTTCTTCTATCATACCTGCTTTTATAAAGGAAACAGCTGATTCTCTTTTCACTTCTATTTTGTCGAAAATTTCTTCAAGTGTTGAATGTGGGATCGTTGGGTATACATTGGACAGTATTA